TCGGATAATTGTTTATAACCACAAATGCACCACACGGGACTACATCGGAGTATTCCACATGTGGAGCAGAGGCCATAAAGAGAATAACAATGGTAAAAGAGTTTATCAGCAACCATGTAATAGTTATCGTCATTATACTTGGTAAATCCAATAATGAGTTTGTTGCGACGCTTAAGCCATACGGAGTATCGTTTAAAATTGTTGTCATTGTTATTGTACTTGTGAGTTGGAAGTGAGTATACTCTGGCAAACTCACTCACAAGGGTGGCTGTACATTCTTCGCTACTTCCAAGTAACAGTAACATAGTTTCACCATAATATTTGCGAATAGTAATAGTAATAGCGCAGTAAACGTTGTCAATTTGAGTCGGCATTACGTTGGTGATAGCCTCGTAAGGAATCCATTCAAGTGTATGATGGGATTGAACCAAGTTGACAATGGCAGGATTATTAACAGTCTCTGATGCTAACGACATAATAATAGTTGAATTTTTTTCGAATGACACAATGTTCGTTCTTCAACACTTGTGTTCCATCGCACAAATGCAGGTACATCAACACAAAGTGTACAGTCGTTCATAATAATTCGGTTCGGACAGCAATTGTATAATAATAAATTAAACTCGTCCATTCTCGGACGCTTAATAAAATTTTATGGATCGTCACAAAAACAATACTGATAAAAAACGCCCCAAACCCTATTACTATACACATCTGACTGCTGCACAAAAGCAGGAAATTGTGTAAACGTCAAAGAGACAATTCTCATATATCCTATCGGCCAGCTTCGCTTTGAACTAGTGTATGGACAACGGTGGCGGGATCAATGTATTGCAGTGCGCATGCCAATAGGCAACAGTGACAATTTTCGATTTTAAATTGAAAAATATAACATTTTTTATTTTACGGTTTTTCTGAAAAAAAAAACACGTTATTTTTAGAAGTAATTATAGAATAATTAAGGGAAAATTTTCTTACTTAAATAACTTTTTTCAGATTTTTCTAAGATTGATGGAATTTTGCGTTTCATTAATTGATATTGTGGCCGTTGGTTGAGGCTAGAGGGAGTTGATACAAACACGCAGGATAATCTCGCTCGTAAAATTGATTTTATCATCAGATTGCACAAGTACACCGATGTCGAGCAGGTACTTTTCGACTTTGCCAATTTTTTGTAGACTAGTATCCAAACCATCAGCACTGCCTATAAGATTACGAATACATGCTTGATCTTCCTGGGATCTTTCCCTTAGTGCATTCTCGATTTTGAAATGTGTACCGTTCATGTACTTTTCGAGCTGCAGTTGTAATGTACTCTTCCAGCTGTCTACAGTCGGTCGACAATAATGGTAAAGCTTCAAAAGAATTATAAAAGAGGCTGGATGTCCGCAAGATGCAGTTATAATTTTCGACTGCAATTCGTTTGGAACACCATCCGTGTTACAGCGCTCCTTGTACCACTTAAATAGATCGACCATTTGTGAATGGTATCCGAACGAAAGCAGTTTTGTTGAAGGGTAAATTCAATTCTTTGCTCCTCAAGTCCAGCAATTTAAATGTTTCTACGGCAACATAGGACACGTTTTTGTTCGCGAGATGCCTAAAAAATTCCTTAGTCTCCTCAAGGAGTGTATCATCAGTGAAAATGTACTGGAACTTGTCAAAAAGAATAAAAAGATGATTTTTCAAGTCAGAGATGGCATTATACAATTTAGATCTTGACATTCTTTGACAAAAGATAGTGCCTGATAAATATCGGATAAACCCTGTTGACGGCTCAGAATCTCTAATAAAGCCTTGAAGCGCGTTCATATCTAGTACTAGAAACACGTGATTCTCTCCCTGCAATGAAAGTTTGTGACCGATTGACAGCAATTCCGCTTTGATATGGTCCGTGGAATATATACGAGACATGACCAACCAAAATTTTTTTTAGAAAATCCCTGAAAGTATCCCATTTGTCATATGGATACATCAGCAAGCCGCGACCATCACACTCCAATTTTCTTTTCTTAGTTGGCACATCTGTTGTGTGGAACAACGTGAGCAGTTGGAATAGCACAGATAAGTGGACAGACGAGGATGGGGAATAAAGATCAGTTTAATATTTGATGACAGGCAGATAGGTACATTATAACAGCCATGAGAAAGTGTTGGCATCACACAAGAAATAGCAACAAGCACCATATCACCAGTTCTACTCTAGCCAATGTACACACTACTCTACACAACCCTACAATAAATTATTGGGTTTTTTTATAGACCACATAGTAAAACATTTAAAATTTTTATTTTTTTAAAGCACTCTATTGTACATATCTACATGTAAGTTACAACTATTTTTGTACTGATTTAAAGACAATTGTAATTGGTTGTGCTTTTCGAGAGAAATGGTGATATGTTCAATCCCATTATTATTCCAAAGCTACAGTTCGATAAATGTCACTGTCTACATTACACATACGTGGGGGTTTGAAAAGTTTTGCGCGTGGATCTTTATTTCCAGAAATATCATAATAAGTATCAATACGACTATTTTGTTCCCTCAAAGTACTCTCCATTAATGTCCATGAAACATTGCAGACGAT